ATTGGTGGTTGGTACCCGATGTACAAGATGTCTGGGCACGGTATATTTAAGTAACTTCGGTAAAATGAAAAATGAGTGGGATTTTTATTAAATTCCAAGACCTGGCCAGACGAGCTCCGCCTAGTGCCGTGTGCTTATCGGACTTCCAACTACACCCTTCTAACCTGAACTCAAGATCAACACCGGCTTTGAGGTATGATTGAAAGCTCAATATCGACTATCCTGTCTTTAAATTTGTATCGCACTATTACTTCTCGATCTACAGGTCATATATACCTGGCGAGGCTCGTAAAGCCCCCTTACGACCAGAGACTTCTATTAGTATACTAAGTACATTTTAAAGCGGTGGTTTGAAGAATTCTCGGAAGGGAAGCCACGCCCGGTATAATTTTATCATCAACCAATTAGATAGCATGAATTAGAAAACTGATGTTTATTCGTGAATATTCTTCTTTTCAATCGTGTCACTCTTGACGGAGTGGTCGTGATCGTCATGTAGTGTTGGAAGGGGCAGACTTGATGCGTCTCACGATGTCCCGCCATCTCTCCCTGCTCGAGGCCATTTTTCTGCACTTAGTGCACCATTCTCTGTGGTGGCACATCTACGCTGACCGCAACTTTGAAACTTTGCTTCATTTAAAGCAGTCCTCATTAAAAATGGTCTCTTACAGGCTCTCCTAAAATTTATCTCTATTACGCTACACAGCAAACGTATCATTTCTATGTATGCACTACATAGAAATTGCTATTTATGCATCAGAGCTCAGCTCAGTCACACTGGAATATCGGTAGAAATTCCGCTGTAATTAAGAGTTGTAGAAGTTATCGTAAGAACTCTTTTTGTTTTTATTGGTCTGGATGAAGAGCTGATGTTAACTGGTTGACGAAATACATAAAAATAGCTACGTCAATGTAACCAGCCTGAGACTTACGCACAGACTCAGCATTGTATGATGACTTTCCCACCGACTAGACTATATCTTTCAAATAGAAACACATGTCTGCTGAATGAATGTTGCATCACGAGGTGACTCTGAGCACGTCCACACATCAAAAGCAATAATAAATAAATAATTTATTTAGATCGATGATCACGTATAACTAAGCACCTATCTAGCGGTCATCTCGTCTCTTAAGCATCTTAAGCCGCTTATTTGGCAGCTGTCGTTTGGATTTTCATCTAAGAGGTATATGTCTATCATATCGTGAACTATTATATGTTGTCAGGTGGGTTAGCAGCTAATTTACTTTTATTAAATAGTGTATACTATTTTCATTGTCTTTCAACCCAAGCAAACATTTTAGTCCAAAATGTTCTTTTAACCCTTTGAGAGCGAATCGTCGATAGATCGATTCTCTATGATTGCGTAGAGTGCGAAGCGTCGGATTACCGACTATTTACGCAGTTTAATTCTCTTGTCGTGGCCGTCGGTAATTACATACCCGATCCTGCGGACCGAATGGTAAGCAGTCGACGTCGCCCTAAGCACGTCATTTTAGGTCCTCCCGATTCAACGTTCTGGTCGAACTCGTCGCTCGCGACGAAGGGTTCGGTGAGTAAATTAACCCATAGCCCACTGAGTTGCTCGCCGGATTTTCTCAGTGGGTCGCGTCCGAACCGGTAGCAGATTCTGCGAAACAAGGCTCTGGCTAGGGCTAGTGCTAGCAACGTCTTCAGGTTAGAGTCCAGAGAGCTCAGCTTAGGTAGAAAAAAAAAATACGTAGTTTCTTTATAGGTATTAGGTATCGACCCGTACGGACCTGTTTTTTGTTTAATTTTTTTTTGCTGAATTTAACATTTATTTTTGTAATTTTGTTTAAGCTAAAGTTTTTATAAGGTATTTTTTTACAAAAATCCTTTAGAAGTTTTAGCAAAATATGTAAAAATAAGCTCGGCACTAAAAGAGTACCTATATGTATTTTAACTGAATGTAAGCGTCTGTGGTCTAACCAGTCTCGTGATTGCTCGTGATCTGTGCTCTTATTTGACTATTTTGATAAATCAAAAAACAAAATGTCACAGCTATTAGTCTAGGCTTTAAAAAAATATATACAAAATGTAACTATGGAAAAAAGAACAAGATTTCTGTCTTCTACACGATGCCGCAAAATAACCAATCAAGTAAGTAAAATGATGAAGTATGCACTGTAGAACGTTCTCCTTAGACTTCGCCAATACTCTTATAAATTGTATAGGTAGATATTCGTCGTATTAATTAGTAAATCCCAACCAAGTTTACTTGTAACTGAATCCCGCACATTAGGAACCACTATACTGCCCTTTTTGCACCGAAGCAGTCACTAGTTCGGATATAGAGTCTGATGGCCCTTACACTTCAGATTGTAACCTAATGACTAGGTGGGAAGACAATGGGGTGCATTCGAAGAGACCTACATATAGCATTGGGTGGACACGGGTTGAAGAAGAGATTAGCTGGGTGGTATTCACGTACTTTACGTGCTTAAGTATCCTTTTTTTTTATTGCCATCTAAATGGGTGAATGATCTTACGGCAAGAAAAGTTTCCGAATCCTATACACATGAACAACGTAAACGCCGCCACTCATCTTGAAACGCGAATTCTAAATTTCAATTTTACAGTTCTACGGTATTTGTTCACGGTAGACATAGGTAGAGTGGTGGTACTTACCTTTGCGGGTTCACAATGCGTTTCTCCGACAGTAGTTACGAAAGTAAAAAAATTTGGCGGGTTTGTAGGCAGACGAGTATACGGCCCACCTGATGGTGAGTCATTACCGTCGCCCATGGACTTCAGTAATGCCGGGGGCAGAACCAAGCCGCTGCCTACCGCTTAATACTCTCCACAAGCTTCGTTTGAAGAAGGACATGTCATAGCGCTCGGGAAACACCGTGGAGGGGAGCTCATTCCATAGCCGGATGGTACGTGACAAAAAAGATCTCTGAAAACGCACTGTGGATGACCGCAGTGGCTCCAGTTAGTATGGATGAACTCTACTCCGGTGACGGGCGGTGTGATGGTAAAAACGAGATGCCGGTATCATCTCGAACAATTCTTCAGAGCACTCCCCATGGAACATACGGTTATTCCTTCATCGTGGAAGTCATTTGTATGTATCAAGTACGTATTTCATTAGGAAAATTTGTTATATCTTTTATAGACAGCGGAGAAGGCGATAAGACACCCTGGCTGACGATCATAGGGGGTCTAGTTCTAGGAGCGGGCGTCATCGCGCTGTTATACAAGTTGTATTCTAGATATAGTAATACATCGCAGGAGGAACCTCTCGTCACAAAACTTAACCCAGCAAAAAGAAAATGGCCGGACGATTGTTAATATAAATATGATTAAAACATGAGTTTTATTATTTAATGAATTAAGTCAAAGGCGCATAATTTGCGTTGACCTCTCGTCTCAAAAAGTGTGATTTTATAGCCGTGTTCTCCTTGTCAGTGTGCTTAGTGCGAGTTTTTTAATGTTCTCGATAGTATAGAAGTTAACCCAATTTAGTATGCAGTTGGAACAGCGCCCTTAGCGGCAAACGTAGGCAAATGTTCCTACTGCATACAAATTTGAGTCACTTTTACCCTATCGAGAACGTTAATTAACTGGCACTAAGCACACAGAAGTGTAAGCGCGAGGCTCTTGTAGGAGCACCGAATAAGCAGTAACAAGACGTCTTTAAATTATCATAAAGATCATTTTAAAATTTAGAGGAACAAGTAGACCTAAGAAAAAATAGATGATTGCATGAAAGACGACATGTGTAAGAGGAGAGAGAGTGAAGAAATGGTATATGATAGAGGAGTATAGAAGGAGAAAACGTTGCGCCGGCCCCAGGTGACTGGGAGAAAGGTAGGAGAATGATGATAATTTTAAAATTCATCAATACTTTTAAATATCTATTTAAGTAAGGCGTTTGGTGTGTGGTAGTCGAGAGACTGTAACTAGGTACCGTGCCTTGGATCCCGAGGTGGCTACTGCTTTAACTTAATAGTATGGCACTTGACACGTGTTTGCAAACTTTTGAGTAATTCCTTCAAACATAATATCCAACAGGTAAAATGTATATTTTTGAACATACTAATGAGCCAGCATACTGCGCATCGGTGTGTTCACTTAACATCAGGTGGGCCGTGAGCTTGTCTCCCATTGTTCGATAGTCAGAGCAGCTCTCGCCCATGGCCTGGCCGATTGCGGTAATAATCAAACATAACGTATTAAAAATATGTGCCCACGTCCACAATTTTTTTGTTGTTGATAATATCTACCTAAATACTTAACGTTTTGAATGAATATGAAATAATTCAAAACCGATCCTGTGGACCGAATGGTAAACAGTCTACGTTGCCCTAAACACGTCATTACGGATACTCCCGATCCACTAACGGTGGTTTTAGGTACCTCAAGCACCGGTCACCGTCCTCGCCGAACCCGTCGCTTACGACGAAAGGCTCAACGAGTAAATTAACCCACAGACACAGCCCACTGAGTTTCTCGCCAGATCTTCTCAGTGAGTTGCGTTTCTGATACGGTAGTAGATTTTGCGAAGCACTGCTCTTGCTAGGGCTAGTGCAACACTCCCGGTTTGAGCCCTGTGAGCTTTAGGTGATAAATAGGTAGTTCAATTTAAGAATTGGTACCCAACGGATTAATTATTATTGTATTATGGCGGTGAGGTTGGTATTGCCAGAGCACTTGAAATATTAACTACAGACATTTGAACGTTTTGAGACAAAATAAAAACAACCATTTATTTAAATACACGATGTATTTATTTGGAATAACATTATGACGCGGTTTATACTTAAATATTATTAAATATATAAATTACAGGCCGGTGTAAGGTTTTTCAGATAAAAAATATACCGACGCTTATAAAAGTCCATCACACTGAACAAATTACCTTTTGTTTTTACGTCGCCACCGGACTATAATACATTTTTGCTTCGACAGGTAACGGACCATCTGGTTTTCAATTCGCCACACGAAATTAGCTTGAACTTAACCTTAGTTTATCCGGAAAAATAATAATTTAAAAACAGATATAAAAAGATGCATTACGACATATGTATTACTGGGAAAACGCTGAGCAATAGTTGGTCAACCTGCAGGCTATTACGTCCTCGATAGACGGTGTCATTGATATTTTTAGAAAAATTATTTAGTCGGGTTCTTCGCATGACAACTGACAGTTAACTGTAGCGATCACTCATCTGTCAAAAAACACTTCAGGCACAAGGAACCGGAACCAAAAGAACGATATTTGGCTTTATTAAAACAAACTAATAAACAGACAGTTAAAAATACTACATATATTTATTTATTTCTTTAAACGAGAACTGTACTATAATCTGATGTAACTAGACAAGATGTATTTATATAAAATCAAGACTGTGTTTCTACTGAACTTCACTTAAACTTTTGGAAGGGCCCGAGAAGCAATGTCAAAGGTTTTTGTTCTTTAATTTGTATTACCAACGCTTACATTTTAACTTTCATGTTAAGCTTCAACAGTAAATAAATAAATTCACGCAACGTCGTGCTTTAGGTTGTCGTCAAAGTCTAACGACAACGCTTTTAAATAGTCTTGCCAGTAAACGAAATGTTTCTTTTTAAGTACAAGTTACGATTCGGTTTGCTGTGAATTTTATCACGAAAGAAATTTTCTCTGGCTGATTCATAATGTACAAATCAACAGCAACATGGATAGTTTTGGCGACGACGTGGTGCACTATATACTAATGGCGTTACAGATGACTACGACTATCTTCTTATATCTGTCCTTATCACACAGGTTCGTTTCACGGTGATGCCGTCTCTGTCTCTCTTCATATAAAACCTGAAATAGAATCAACCACTTTTAGACAAAACATTATATTATGTATCTCGAAAATATCGAGTGGTCAGTGAATCACACTCGCATTGAGCGATGCGACTGTGCTGATATCCAAATCCCGCAGACAGGTAAAATTGACTTAAGGAAGTAGGCAACTCCTGCCGCAATACAATCGTGCGGTCTGGTTAGAAGTGGGACAGCTATTATTGACGGCCTGTCTCAAGGTGAGTAATGGTGTTAACGTTATGATGTCTACAGACTGCAGTAGTCACACAGCACCAGGTGATATGATCATTGTAAATGTATCCATTCAGCGGTAGGCAGCTACTTGGCTATACCCCTGACGCTGCTGACGATAACAGGCAATAAAAGAGTCAGTCCCTATTTCCGTGACGTCTATCGTCGACTATGTCAAAAACCTTCCCAGAAACACAAATAGCAATTTCTTTTATTACCCTTGCAGGAAGACGAGCATACTGCCCACTTGGTGATGGTGGTGGTTACCGTCTTTCATAGACGTAAGCAATGCTGGGGTAATGCAAGGCTCTTGTCTACTGCTGAGGATACTCTTCAAATCCCATTTGCAGAAAAACATGTCTCAGGAAACCATGTGGAGGGGAGTTCATTCTGGAGTCAAATGGTACGTGGTAGAATATATCTCTGGGAACGCATTGTGGATGAAGATGGGAGGGATGCAGTCTGCACTGGCGGCGGGCAGTGTGATGATGGGATCATCTCAACAATTCCTCAGAGACAAATTAATATGTAACCTTAGTTTCTTCTAAGTTTCGAATTATTTAAGACAATATCTGAAACCTGGTATTCGATCCTTACCCAACTGTATACGTTATTTCCTAGCTTGAAGCGCGTTCGAGAGCCAGTCCATCGCCTGATCTAGCCCCTCGCCTCTGACGGCTGAAGTCTTAAAGATCTGGAAGGTTCTATCGCGCAAGGCGTCCAAGCCCAGGGCCTGGTGTACCTCGGCTACTGTCAGACATCCGGCCATGTCCTGTTTGTTGGCTAAAACAACGAGTATCGCGTTCGCTAATTCTTCTTCCTGAAATTCATACGAAGCAATTAAACTAACCGACTTAAAAAAAAGTACCGTTAAGTACTCTCCACAAGCCTCGTTTGAAGAAGGACAAATCATAGCGCTCGGGAAACACCGTGGAAGGGAACTCATTCCAAAGCCGAATGGTACGTAACAAAAAAAAACTCTGGAAACGCACTGTGGATTAGTCATTCGTGTCACAGCGAAAACACTGATCTCTCAACACAAACAATGGAGTGTAAATTGTTGCTACTTTGCTTTGAGAGACAAACGCTTGATATAATTCGGCCTTGTAATGTAGTTCCAAAAGGGTGCAGCCTTTTGACTGATAGTGGCCATTTTAGCCAATCCCGTCCGTACCACTGCTCTGTTTATTTCTGTCACTAACTGCAATGTGGACAGCAGTACAGCCCTTATTTCAATACAGATACTTATATATTTTACCACCACCATTTCTATGACGATAGGACATCTTGTGAGGCAGCATGGCTAGATGCCATCAAGGCAACATATACATATTATGTTGTTGGCTTCCGGTAACCCCTAAACACCAGGTGGGTCATGAGATCATCCACCCATCTAGGCAATTAGTAAAAAGTGAAAGCCTCAAATTAGCTGTAGGCGCGTGCTAGTTTATTGGAATCCGGTAATCATTCAACATAAAGACGGCCGTTAGTTTATTGATAAAATGAGTTGGCCAATAATGATCATAATAAAAAAAAAAAAGAAATCTGAAAAAACCTATTAAATTTAACAATAGGTACTACTTCTACCACACTTTTAGACAGAAATAACTTCCCAATTTTTTTTCAAATCACCTTCTTGGAAGTTTATTATAAAGTAGTATTATAAAATTGTGAAGTAAAATTATCGACAATACTAGTTGGACCAGTTATTTCTGCAGTAATATTAAGGAAATTTCAAATTTATTTGTTTGGTAATTTGCACACAGAATGAAGACAGTTAATATCTGCACCGGACTACCAATTTTAATTCCTTTTTTTGTTTAACTGTGTGAACACAAAAATTAGAAGAAATAGAAAGGCACAAAACCAAGCTGTGAAATTATATTTTAGTCTGTATGGACAGACCAATTATAAAATTACATCAGCTAGGTATCTATCCGAGGTACAATGCAGCAAATTCTGCATGTTATCCTAACATATTTAATGATTTTCTTATCTGTCATGCTGTAGGCTAGACTCTGTAAAGACGGCAATTAATGAAAAATTACTGCTGAATTTGTTCATCGAAAAATACTAAGATTAAAATTTGACATCTCCGTTTGGTAGCATTTGCTTTGGGCATCAGTAGCCACTAAACACTGAATGGGCTGTGAAGTTCATCTGTCTATATGAATCAATAAAAACAACCTATTGTTACTTACAGAATATACGTTTGTTTCAAGAATTTACTCATCGGAATTCGTTCACAACTTTCATTTATCTTTACCAATGTTGTGCATTAAATAACTAATAGCTAAGTGAAATAATGTGTTGTATTTGTATTATCAGATACCATCAACTGATTGTACAGACATATAATTAGTAAAATTTGTGTCTATTCCTGATGATAACTTTAACATGCATTTACTTTTTAAATAAATGCTTTGTTTTTAAATTGTGTCTTAAAAAAAATGCTTATTTCAAATAGATGTATGGATAGTTTTCACTAATTCTTCCATGAAGTCGTCGTGGCCTAAAGGATAAGACGTCCGGTGCATTCGTGTATAGCGAAGCAACGGTGTTCGAATCTCGCAGGCGGGTACCAATTTTTCTAATGAAATACGTACTTAGAATCTTCACGATTGACTTCTACGGAGAAGGAATAATATCGTGTATTAAAAATTAAACCCGCAAAATTATAATATGCGTAATTACTGGTGGCAGAACCTCTTGTGAGTCCGCACGGCTAGGTACTACCGCCCTGCCTATTTCTGCCGTGAAGCAGTCATGCATTTCAGCTTGGAAGGGTGATGCAGCCGTTGTAACTATACTGAGACGTTAGAACTCATATCTCAAGGTGGGTGGCATATACGTTATAGATGTTATGAGCTCTGGTAACCCACTTAACACCAGGTGGGCTGTGAGCTAAACAGAGCAAAAAAAACTATTAATTAAAACACACTGCTTCTGGCAGTTTCCGGAAAGTATTATTATTATTATTTTTTTGCTTAGATGGGTGGATGAATCCCTTCACTGTGAAAGTCAATCGTGAACATTTGTTAAGTACATATTTCATTAGAAAAATTGGTACCCGCCTACAAGATTCGAACACCGGTGCATTGCTCAACACAAATGCACCGGATGTCTTATCCTTTAGGCCAGGACGACTTTTAAATATTACTCTGTATACCTTTTGTACAGGATGTATAGATATCAGAAATATCTCTCTAAATTTTAATTATTTACCAATACATTTATATACCTGAATATACTTTCAAATGTATCACTAAATAATTTCCTAGTTTATACATAGATATTTTTTGTTATATTATATTCATTTCGTCTTATTGGAATTTACTACTTGATACACATCAAGTTTTAGTTTCTGTCATCTTTTTAAGGCCTCTTAGTTTAAAATAGTATCCATTATACAGTATGCTTTAATTTTTTTCAACTCACCCTTAACATATGCACAAGTTCATCTTTAGATATTCCTATTCGATCCCTGTCAGCTGAATCTACAACATATATTATTGCATCTGTGTTGCCATAGTAACATCGCCAATAAGGCCTGAAATAATAATACATGTTTTTACATTTAAGTAACAAAATTCTAATGAATGGTCAATTTTAATTGTAATTTTTTCAAATAGGTACTTAATGAATTATGCTGATTTACTGAACTTTTTGGAATTTTCCTGAAGTATTTAGAGTGTATGAGTATTACACAGTATTAGACACACAGACTTATAGTTTGGTTTAAGTTTAGATCTTTTAATACCATAATGATGAGTTTCAAAATATAGTGTATGATAATAAATTAGGTTGTCAAACAGGTCATTTTCAATTTAGAAATATTTTGATGTCTTTGATTGAAATATATTGTGTTAGCCGTGAACCAAATTTTAATATTTTTAACATTTACAGAATCAGTTGTAATGGTTGGTATTCTAAAGCACTCCTGCAAAGCATTAGTTAATTTTAATAAGCAATAGTATTGTATAGTAATAGAATAGAATGTACTACACTTGAGACTTCAACATCGAGTTTGAACATCTTGACAGCATAATTGCATATGACCACTTGTAACAAAGTCCTAACCTTCAAAGGGAACATTTTACCTAATACTGGTCTGTCCCCCAAGATCCCACACTTGGAACTTGAGATTTTTATATGTGACTTGTTCTACGTTGAACCCAATCGTCGGTATAGTGGTCACGACCTCACCGACTTGTAATTTATAAAGAATTGTCGTCTTTCCGGCACCGTCCAATCCAAGTATCAAAATCCGCATTTCCCTTGCACCCAGCAATCCTCTAAAGTAACTAAATAGACCACCTACAATATAAAAAATATACAACACTCCTCACAACAATACTTTATGTAAAAATTCAATTTTAAAAATCTCATAAACTCATACCCATTTTATTGATAAGCTTAGTTTAATTTATTGCTATTAATAAGGAATGTTTATGCACTTCGTTTGCACATTAAAGATTTTTGAAATTGTTTCTTTGTACTTATTTACACATGGAGCACACTAAATATCCTATTTAACAATAAATATTGTACATTTTATAGAAATCTCAGTCATTTGACGTGTAAGCAAGCACTCAATTATTTTGTTGCCAGATTTCGAAAACTTTTATCTTTTAACTTGTGACGAAAAGGCGTAGTTTAAAACTGGCGTAGAAAAGGCGTAGTTAAACTATGGTAGAATTTTAAATAACACTGTTTTCTCCAATAATAATCAAAAATTTTGTTACGCCCCAGTTCAATAACAAAAAATGACGCTATGTGCAAACTATTCCAAAAAAAGCATTTCCCTCTTGTGGTCAATGGCTTAACAATTAATTTCTTATGTAAGAACCAAAAAAGACACATTAATAATTATCTCGTATCGCAATCAACATTGTGTCAAGAAGTTTCTTTGTTTATTACTTATGTTTTTTTTATTATCTGCAGGATTTGAAACTATTGACTATATGTAGCCACTAGAAAATTCACTACCATGTGTAGGTAGAATTATAACTTCCTGGGTCTACGTGCTGATGTGTCATCATTCTGAATTTTTGTGTTGCGTAATCACTGAATCAGTCATGGTTTTCAACTTAGAGGTGGGATAGCCACTATTGAATAGAGTTGAAACTTCGGCTTCTTATCTCAATGTGGGTGGTAGAATTTGCGTTGTGATATCAATATCTTCCTTTTTTCCTACGTATCTGTCAGCAGCTTCAATAGCCTATTCTGGTTTCATCATGAGTAGTGGGCGAGCTCACGAGGCTCATGCTGAAAGACGTTGCTCACATCTGCCCTAACCAGAGAACTGCTTCGCAGAACATGATGACCACCTGACATAAGGAACCGTCGATAGTTCGACTCTCTATTAATGCGTAGAGAGTGCGAAGCGTCGGATTATCGACTATTTACGCAGTTTAAGCCTCTTCTCATGGCTCGACGTCGCCCTAAACACGTCATTTCGGATCCTCTCGATCTAATATCGGTGCTTTTAGGTACCTCAAGCACTGGTCACCGTTCTTGTCGAACCCGTCGCTCGCTATGAAGGAAATTAACCCACAGACACAGCCCACTGAGTTTCTCACCGGATCTTCTCAGTGGGTCGCGTTTGCGATCCGCTGGTAGATTCTGCGAAGCACTGTTCTTGCTAAGGCCACTGTTAGCAACACCCCCGGTTTGAGCCCCAAGAGCTAGGGTAACGCTGATATACCTAGTCTCTCAAGGATATCAGCATATAGGTAGGGGAAAAACAAAAAATAGGGTTGGCTGTGGCTGAGTTCGTCGAGCAAAAAAAGTTAATGATATACGCTTCTAATATAAAAAAAAAAAAACTAAAGAAATATAATATTACTGCTGAATTTTAGATAGCAGTCTGCTTTTTCAAAAGTTTCCTTTCCTGCAGCAAATAACTTAAAAGCTATTTTATGCAGAATGATATTAAATATGATAAGGCGCTTTTTTAAAATGAGTCAAAACCTGAGTATGATAAATGAGATGAATTTTATGACGCTTTAAATTGAAGTATCTGGATAGTGTTCTATTTTATATTTGTTAATATAGTCAAAATATCAAAATAAGTATTTTTAACGATAAGCCCCATGATTTGCAAACGAAATAAATTTTATTGTCCCTTTGTAATACAGTAATGCAAAAATTTCCATCGTTCTGTCATGACCTCTGCAAGTGTAGTGCTTGCACACGCGGCCTGTACACACATTTACTCTCTCCAGTGTGCTTATTGCGAGTTTTGTAAAGTTCTCTATAGCAAATTTGTATTGAGTTGGAACCTTTGCCTACGTTTGCTGGTTCAGCTATCAGAACGCTTTTATGAAACGTGGCGCGACACAAGAGCCCTCTTAAAGTGGTACTACTTTTCCGAGCAACCATGGAACATCGCGATTTGCTGTCGTCCAAAACGTGTCTTATTGTTGAAGTGTTTTTCATAATTATATGTTTTTTGTTTATTCTACGATTCCAATATTAAACGAAGGTCATTCGTAATACTTCTCTTTTGTCTGAATGGTTTTACGAGTCGTAATGATTAAATTATTCTTGTACTTACGATAGCAAGCATAAAGTAGAATTTGTTGGCAGTGTCGTCATGACGCGTCACAGCCCCGCCCCTTGTATGCAAGATACGTAGGAACAGTAAGACAAACGAAAAGTATTCTTCGTTTTTAAATCATTTATTGTGCAAAATTTGGTAAAGAAAACTAGCAGTGAACAAAAAGACAAAATAAAGTGTAACATAATTAAACAAAAGAAAATTAAAAAATTTGCTGTAAATGTTACGAATCGCATTTCATTGCCAACAAGCGATTTAGATTAAACACAAATACTAGGACGCCTATGTCATTCACCAACACTTAATTTGACCTTAAATACTTGTTTTAATGAGTTTATACATATTTCTACTTGAAATCGTTCTATTCATATTATTATTTAAAATTGCGTGTCAATAAATGGAAGCCAAGCTTTATATTGTATAAATTAGAATATTAATCTCAGGGCCTGGGATTTTTAAATTACACGTGTATATTTAAACGAACGATAAATTGGAATAAAAACCCAGATTTTTTGTTTAAAAGTTTTTGTAATATTACGTATTTCTATTTAAATAAGTAGAGATTTAGTTCGTAGTAATTACCTATATAATTTAATCTTTTTGTTGACAGGCAGGCTAGCTCATGTCCCACCTAGTGGTAAATGATTACTGAAACTTATAGACCTCACAATCCGTATCCGTATCCAATCCACATTCCGCTATTCATTTTGAAACACGAGGCGGAAGTTTATATCTCTGACTGCGACAAGGGTGGGAACCGTTCAAACTGGAACGCATGATTTATGTGCGGTAGAGATGGATACTATGGTGGCATCTAACTGAGAGTTTATATTTCGTCTTACAAGACGTAATTTTATATTATACTGTGCGAGTTTCAATTTGTATTAAAGTCATCACACTGATTTTTCATTATCTTGGTAACGTTCTGTCATCTGTCAAAAATGTTTGTTTACACAATGATAAGCGAAGACTTCAACCTCAGACAGGCGTGTCAATTGATGTATAGCTTTTCTACTTAAAATTACGTTGAAGGCCGTCTGCAAATATGCTGAAAATATGAATGTTATCAATCGCTAATAAGAGTGATTTTCGTCTGATGAGTAGGTAGGTTGGTATAGTTTTGTTGATTTAGTGTCTAATAGAATTACGGTAGCTTATTAATTACTATTTTTAAATTATCTGTGGTGGAAATTCCCATATTTCTCTTATTAATTTCGCTGTAGAAATAACGTATTTCAAATTGACAATTAACGGTACATCTAATGTAGGTAATTCGAAGACTATAAACACTTTAATTTTCATTCACTTGACACTTCATCTGTAGTTCAATTGTCTATTACACTTATTTAATGCGATTTTATTTAAATTTCAAAGTCATTTATTTCATAATCTTTTAATCCATTTTCTTCTTTTTACAAATATTTTTAAGAAAATACGTACTTAGCGGCTGTTCATGATTGACTTTTACGGTGAACGAATAACGTCGTGTAATAATAAATACAAAAATAAAACCCGCAAAGCTATAATTTGCGTAATTATTGGTGGTAAGACGTCTTGTGAGTCCTCACGAATAGGTAGCATTACCTTGTCTATTTCTGCCGTAAAACAGTGATTCGTTTCGGTTTGAAAGGTGGGGAAGCTGTTGTGCTCTAAAAACGGAGACCTTAGAACTTAGGTATGTCTCAATGTGGATAACGGTATTTACGTTGTAGATGTCTATAGGCTCTGGTAGCCACTTACGCCAGGCAGGCCGTTAACTCACCTAGCCATCTAGGCAATAAAAAAACAAACATTCGTGAATCCGTACTAGGTACGGTTACATACTGTCATGCTTAATACAGCCGTTTTTTATATATATTTTTATTGTCTAGGTGGGTGGATGATGTGAAGTGGTCTAGTAAAGTCTGGTAAAGCTTAAAGTATAGTAAAGCCTGGTTCGAAGGGTACTAGATTCTCGTTTCTGGTTTTTTTTTCCTGCCTAAGCTGATAGCCTTGAGAGGCTATATCAGCGTCGCCTTAACTTAAACTAGTAGGTCAACTAGTAGGCAGTAATTACGCAAATTATAATTTTGCGGATTTTATTTGCATTACACGATGTTATTCCTTCACCGTGGAAGTCAATCGTGAACATTTGTTGAGTACGTATTCATTAGAATAATTGGTACCCGCCTGCGGGATTCGAACAGCGGTGCATCGCTCAACACGAATGCACCGTACGTCTTATCCGTTAGGCCACGACGACTTCAAAATATAAACACCCTTCCAGTTAAAAAATAAAAATAACGTAAATATTTACAGCTAAAACCTCGACAGAGAACAGCGCTCCAAGCGTAGATTTTATAACATTGTACAAATATGCTAAAGTTTAGTTTCACTCGTAATGGATGTCCGCCGTCAGCACGCCGTATAAGGCAATGTGCACCACCAAACATCGACTGCGTACGTTAAATACGTAAATTCATGTTAATTAATGACTCAAACTCATAAATTAACGTTATGAACGCGCCGAAATCAAAACACGATCGTTAAAAGCGCAGTGCACACGTGTTAAAATAGCTCGCGTTCCCGAAAAATGTTGCGTGATTCATGGCTTTTTGACGTTTTCATTGATCGTGGGAATGTTTAACCTACCTTTAGGATGGAGTGAGCCCTGCGGAGGAAAGTCCACGACGAAGTCGGGTGCTCGAAACGCCCTGTGGATGTAGGCTGCGGTTATTGGGACCGGGTACAATCACATCGCCGCCTGGAGCAGCTGACTTCAGCAGGCGGCGATGCGATTGTAAAAATGAAAAAGGCGAGATCATCTCGAAAACCGTCTATTCAGTATTCAGCGTCGCTGATATGAAATTTCACGGGGCAGAGTTGAATGTTCTTGCTTCTGTTGACATGTATTCTATCAGCCCACAGACGTCCACTTTTTTTTTCCTACCTATGCTGACGCGACCCACTGAGAAGATCCGGCGAGAAACTCAGTGGGCAACGTTTACTGCTGGACATAGGTCTCCCCCAAGCCTCGCCACAAAGACCGGTCCTG